AATAGTAATTAAAAGGGAAAAAGCCTATTCAATTTATCTGACTGGTACGGTTGAACTAGGGACTCTGACTATGTGCGTTTTAACCAGCACAAATGGAGCGTGAAATGGCGTGGAAGCCTGCTCGGATGCATGCTGGTTAAAACAAAACTTAGAACACCTTAAGAATCCGGAGGCGAACTAGAGGTTTACTTAGTTAATTTAGTTTAATCTGTTTACTTTAGCCCTAGTTGCATTTTGGTGTCAGAAAGGTACACTGCGATGTAAAGGTTTGAGGAGTTATACTTAGTGATCCTGACAGGCACGCACTTTGGGCGGATTTGGATGAACTAGTAGTTTGGTGCAAACGATGGTGTCTAGAAATAAACTCTAGCAAAAACAAAATAATGCACAGTCGTTATTACAATCGTTTCCGGTTTTCTGTTGATAGCAGAGTTTTCGAACAGTCTTTGAACATAAAGATTTGGGTTTCATCATGAGCTGTAATTCGCAGCCTTCGACACAACGTAATGCAGCTGCAGCAAAGAGCTTCCATGTGTTATGGTCCATCCTTACAGCTTTCAATAGTTTTGATCAGGATATGTTCAGCATACTCCATTCCACTAACATTGGACCTCACTTGGAATGCTGCAGTCAGATGGCCGGTTCATGCTTAAAGATGGATGTCGACGTACTCGAGCGTGTTCACATGGTATTAAGTATTAAGCTTGTGATAGGCCCTTCAAAACTGCTCTTTGAGGGAAGACTGGATCGAGTAAACTGATTTCCTCTGTCTTACCGTGGGACGAGGGGCGATCTCATACTGGTATTCCGTATGCTAGCCTTCACTCCTGAGATGTCTTACCCTTTTTCCCCTGCCAAAGCTGATTGTCTCCTAGGCCATTTTGAGAAAATTCAAAACAGCAATGGAATCGGATAAGCGTGAATCTGTGTGTCTGCCATCATATGGCATATATATATATATATATATATATATATATATATATATATATATATATATATACGTTAAATATAGTGGCTGCGAACATTACTTGATACAGTGTAGCGTCATACACTTCCCCAAAATCAATAGCCTAGGGTTTGACGACTTCGACATTGATGCTGACCTTGATAGTTTAACTGGACTCGCTAAGCTGAAGGCATCCGGTCAAGCATCCTCGCCATTTGGCACGCTGTCGTGTTACGTTGCATTGCTCGTATTCGACTCTCTAGCCAGTTAGTTGGAACGCATCGGTATTTTGGCATAACCATCCAAATATACTATTCCATCCGACTACGCTATCGTGTTCTTCCTTGGTCTCGTATTCGTGGGTATATAACAAGTTCGAATAATTAGTGATTGGTCTTTGCGTCTGTCAAGTTCGCACCAGGACAAATCCTAAATTGGTGAGCCCGACGTGATCACATATCCCGACCAATAACAAGTATTGAATTGGTGAGCCTGTTCCATTTTATATTTGTTTATTGTTTTCATTTCGATAACATTTATATATCCATTTACTACACTTTCTCATGTCCGACCACACTCCCAAGCTTATTCGTATTAAGCCGACCTCGAACACGATCCAACTCGTGCCATATTGGCCAGACAATGCAGAAACATGGTTTCTGTATGCCGAGGCCGATTTTCGAGAACAGGGTGTCTCAGATCCTCATTCTCGATTTCTTGCTGTCATACGTTCACTACCGCGAGAATTAAACAGGTATGTTACAGCAAACATGTTTAATCCTGAAGTAAGTGACCCTTATGCACTTCTAAAGGCCGCACTCTTGAAGAAAAGCGATCTCACAGATCGCCAACGTCTAGACGAATTGCTTCGTAACATCGAGCTAGGCAGCCACTCAGCTACTGAAGTCCTCGCACGCATGCGAGAAGTAATCGGTGCACGAACATTTGACGATGGTTTCTTCCGAGAACTATTTCTCTCGAAACTACCACAACCGGTGCAAACCGTGTTGGTGACACTCCAGTCAGTCCCACTCGACGACCTGGCAGCCTCAGCAGATAAAATACTGGAGATATCCAGCAGACCCGTCTCCAACGTATATTCTATCTGCGACAAAACAGAGCGCCAGGATTCGGAGGTGACCAAGTTGTGCAACTCTGTGAGACGGTTGCTACGATCTCGAAGTCCTAGATCACGTAGCACTTCACAGAAACGCACCTTGGCGCATCGCAGCAAGTCGCGTGGTAGCCCTAAAACGAAACCCAACAGGGTGGAAAACCCTGAATGGTGCTGGTTTCATAACACTTACGGGGATGAAGCCAGAAAATGTCGTAAACCATGCCGTTTTAAGAAGGACCCGAACTCGGGAAACGGTCACGCCGGCACGTGCTCACGGCAACCGTAGCCGGCGGAAAAAGCCGTTTGCTCTACGTCACCGACATTAAAACGAAAGTCCGCTACCTCGTCGACACCGGCGCAGAAGTTAGCGTTCTTCCAGCAACGACAAAGGAGCGTCATCTTGACCCATCCTTCAATCTTCAAGCAGCCAACGGCAAGGCAATCGCGACATTCGGGAGACGGTATGCCTACCTCAACTTAGGTTTACGCAAACCTATTCACTGGATTTTCCTCCTGGCAGACGTCTCTATGCCCATCATTGGCATAGATTTGCTAAACCATTACGATCTACTCGTAGATGCTCGCCGTCGACGACTGATAGATAACAGCACAAAGTTATCTATTGGCGGCACCACCTATGTAGGTCCGAGTTTAGCCATCGTTAGGACTAAACAATCAGACGACGCGTCCTACCAGGCAGTTCTGGAGAAATATCCAGAGTTACAACAACCGAAGCACACTCTTCCGTGCATAACCAGCAATGTTATGCATCACGTCACAACCACAGGTCCACCTGTGGCATCCAAAGCGCGCCGTTAGCCCCCGATAAGCTCCAAACGGCGAAAAATGAATTCGACCACATGCTCGAACTGGGCATTATCAGACCGTCGAACAGTCCTTGGGCATCGCCATTGCACATGGTTCCCAAAAAGGATAGCAACGACTGGCGTCCAACCGGTGATTACCGAAGGCTCAACGCCAAAACAACCCCGGACCCCTACCCGATACATCAATACAAACCCTCGTACACTTTGCCCTTTTTATATCAATTTTTATTACCATGTAATGAAATTTAAAAAAAACCGGCGAAGATAAGCGTAAATTTTTATTTTTCGATATGTTTATATATAAATAATTCCATTTTTACGCAACGTTTTCGTGGTATTAAAGACTTTTATTTATATTCCAGGTGCAACGAGCACTGGACGGAACGTCGAAAGGAACAGATGACCGCGACCGACGTACAATTTCATTTATTGTATTTTATTTATTTAATCGCCACGACACCCTAGAATAAGGTTCAGACAACCAGGGGCCACCTCACGCAGTGAGCCCATCGGAAGAGTTTTACCAGTGGAGAAACCACTGGGTTTTTACTTCCCAAACCAACTGTTCAAAGATCAGCTTATAGGGAAAAGTGGTGTTACACAAGGAAGTAATGAAAAACCCTATCTCTAACCCTAACGATGAGAGTGATGTGAGATAAATAAAAAAGAGAACGAAATTGGTAATCGTTTCTGTGTTTTTATAATGTTAGAATAGCTGAGTGCAAGTTAAAACAATATGAAGTAAAATGAATAAACGTCAGCTTATGGAGTAGGACACCAAATCAGCGTAAAGTGAAAGTACTTTTGGTTTTCTGATTCTATTTTTTCAGTAGTATCAAGATATAATTTAATTTTCTACAGCTTGTCATGTAGTGAAGCATTTTTCAGATTGTTTAAACTTCACAGTTTTGTTTTTTGTCATTTCCCGTCTTCGACTGAACCGAATTGATTGACCTCTGATGATATATAACAAACAATAACATTAAAAAAGGATTATACCAGTCACATAAGGAGTGGCTAGCACGACTCAATATCCTAACGGGTAAGATTGTTGGCATTTAAAGTGATCGGTCAGAGGTACGAGTCACATCCAGCTTAAAGTCTAGAGAAGAAAAAAACATGCAACCTCACTTCTACCGCCACCCACTATGATTATTATGTTTATACATCATTTGAAACCGGCATATATGAGTTAACCTAGGAGGTTTTTCAAGGATAACCTTCTACAAAACATCTGAGGAGAATAAAGAATCAACTGATAATTCTCATCTGGTATTTCTTGTTGTTGTTGCTGATTCAAATGAACATCTTTAGAAAGCATAATAATCAACAAGTGAATGCCAAATACATACTGTAGTGTACTCATACACTGCCAAATACCTTAGCATGCTTTATAAACTAATGATTAAAATATATCTACATTTCAGGGTGAATAAACTAAATTGTAAATCATTTGATCACAATATCAATATATATGAAGGGTAGAAATCTGTCGAATTTATTGTAAAAAAGTAAAGATTATAGGCGTCATACAAACAATATCGAAGTGTTATCAGCATCCTAAACTAGTTAAGTTTCAAGTATAATTTATACTAATTTTGATAAAAAATTACTAAATAAAGTATACTTCTATAGTTAGAAAAAGAGACATCATATTAAATTTATTCAGAAATTTCAAATGTCTGCCAAATAAAATATACACAAAATATATTGAACATTATTAACTAGAACAACTGTAAGTGAGTAAGTAAGTAAGTAAGTAATAATAGTAGTAGTAGTAGTAGTAATAGTCAATGTATAGTTTTATAATATAAACGTTTGCCTACTTATGTTTAAATGAAAACGTTTTCAAAAAGAAAATAATATTCAAAGGTTACATTTCTAGATATACTCAAATAAAGGAATCTATTAAGATAACTTTTCATATATATTGCACTTTTAAGGGGAATAGTACTAAATATGAAAACATTAACATATGATGAGACTAGGAGGAGAGTAGTTTTAACACTTTACAATAATTTACAATGTTCAAAAGAAAATCTTTGAGAAAAGGAGATGTAGAATCAGTTAAACTGTTCATAAATCAACTAGATTTTAACTTGTTTCTTTTTCAATATTGATAAGCATTATTCACTTGTTCATGTGAAATATATGTTTCGATTTGTTTTTTGTACAGAATTGTTTCAATATCATCTGTTTGACCATAAACTAATGCTTTCATCCAAATCAATGGATTCTTTAGATAGAGCCTATGCCTATCTCGTTTAGGAACATATCTTAGTCCAATTTGAATAGTCCACCAGGTATCAGAGGCTAAACGCCAAAATATAGCTGGAGTATTTGCAATGAAAACAGCTAATGGAAAGGTGAACCAAAAGGCTGGACTTCGGCATAATTGAGAAAATCTTTGATATTCAGTATTGTTGTATGATCCAAATGTCTGAACAGTGAAAAATGAGAATTAAGTAAGAAAACTAAAGTTCTTCCTTTCAGTAAAAAAGACATCATGTGAACATGGAATATTGAATATAGCAGTTCAAGGTAAAATCATTTCAACCTGTAATCAGGCATAGTCATTGTGGCTACTTACTGCCTGAATTGTCTTCAAACTCCACAGTTCTCTTTGTCGCCTCTATCCCGACTCCACAAAAAAACAAATTGGCATCCTTCTTTATGCATTACCATGACATACCATTGTGAATCTATAAATGAAGTCCACCAGATATCTTACAGAGCTCGCGGCAATGTCCTTAACCACTTATGAAAAAGGGTGTAGTACTGGATTATTGTTTGCTGAGATTTCTGGGTTATTCCAGTTGACATCTGTCCTTCCTGTCACCAGAAGGTACACGTCATGATGAATTAATGTTTGTACTAGGAGAGTGTTGCAGAGAAAGCAGTGAACTCTTCATAATACCGAAGTAAAGAAAAAAATTGTTGAACATTTCTCTACATTGAGTACTAATTATTTACCCTGAGCTTCATCTTCCATTAACTTGAAATCATCCTTCATTGTATGAAAGTTATACTTAAAGCTCAAAACTCTGATTAAAGTCATTAGTATCCACAAGGACCAGAGAACTTAAACTTCATGAAAGATCGCTTGTGAACAGTGAGGACATTAAGAGGTCTAAGGTGTCTCTTTTAAAGACTTCAGAGGATAGCATTCTTCATGATGAGCATGTCCTGTTGAACTCCACATAGAATATGCTATCTTACAGATAGTAATGGGACCAAAAAACTAGTGAATTAGTTGCTTCTATCTAGCAGTGTCTGAGAGGAGGATGTTGTATGGAATATCACTGGTGTAGAAAAGTTACATAGGCACTGATCTTCACATCTGCACACTCTCTTCATCTGTTATAGACTGTTAGATCATAGGTTCACCACCGACTGACTCCTTATGAAGCCATGTTAGACTTCATGTGTCACTGTTTCCATCCACATGTTTCCTAACATGAAAGCTGACAAAGCTCTCTTTTAGCTTCGACACCACCAAAGACAACTCTATAGACCCTTAGCAATTCAAATGCTTTCGGTTTTTCACCTAACATAAATGACGGAAGATTGGAGTGCTGTTACGATTGTTGGATCTGCTAGTTAAACAGTGCTTATTTTAGGACTAATTGCAGAGACACTCATACAGAATATTTACTTGTTGTTCTACAACAAGTGATTCGGTGTCATCATATATTGATGACTTTCAAAGAATGAAGCCCACCACCTGTTCAAGAATTACACTGCAATATACATGCGGTGTACCTACCAATTTGGCAACCAACGACATGACAGCTTTATGGCGTTGCGCAACATGCAGCTCGCCGACAGCTTTTTCACTTATTTATCAAACACAGAACTAAAAATTTTTGCTACCTTGAAACGAGAAAGGTATTTCACACAGGAGGCTCTAATAACACATGCTTGCTAACCCTGAGATTTCCTCTTCTCCGTGAAGTGGTATAGCTTCTTGCATTTACTCAAATTTTGTTTCAAAAGACTTCTCACACCCTCGCAACTTATTATTACATTCAGTCTTCAGACCCAAAGACAAGTTATGTTTGGATTTTTTCCTAGAGAACCTTTTTACCGAGTTGTTCTTCTGACCTGTAAGAGAAGCTCGGTTCCCCAGGTGTTACAGCATTTTGTCTGAAAATATGTTTTTTATGTTTTAATATGAGAGTAGTAGAATGTAATTCCATTTTCATCCTGTCCCATCGTATTGTGTGGTTGCGTTTAATCGCATGCATAGTTGTGGCTGAGCCTCCCTTTTCTAAATTCCTCACCTTACTAGGATCTATTAATTTTGACCTAGCTAGGTTTTGTACGCGAATGGCTTAATTAATCCCGGTCGACTACTCTGACCAATGTATTTGACTTCGGGATCTTTGCAAAGGATTCGGTAAACAAACTATCCTGCCTAACTGGATCAACAGGATCATTTAAACATAAAAGCTTATTTCTAATTGAGGTTTAAATGTTACTCTAACCCCAGCCTTATTGTGAATCCAACGTAGTGTTCTCGAGGTGCCTTCTTTGTAGAGTAATACTAAAGGGGTTTTGGAATCCTGTCTTCACAATATTGCCACTACTATTATTAACATTATTATTACTACTACTATTACCTATCTGGAGGTTTGAGAAGGTTTATTGACTGGTTTTAGGTTGAATGTAGGTCACACTATATCGTAAGTGACAGAAGTGGGGAATATAGACCACTGAATTCCGACCCAGTGGCTCAATGGTAACATGTTGGTCAAGGAATCTGAGGGTCCTGGGTTTGATCCTCGGTGGGGCCACGAGTTCGCACTACTGAGGAGTCCCCCAAGAAGACAAAACAGCTATCGTGTGTTTCCAGGTCCCCAGTATTGTTCCAACTGGTGTCAGTCTATGATGAATTCCAACGTAAAATCTTTTGATATTTATTATATTATTATTTGTCCCTTGGGTTCCTAATGAAACATAGGGCTTCAGCAGCACGTCTCCAGCGCACTTTGTTTTCTGCAATCTTTCGAACCTGGCTCCACGATAGCCCAGAGTCTCTCATTTCTCCTTCACATCATCTCCTCCATGTCACCCTCAGCTGGGACGCCCAACTCGTCGTTTCCCATCTGGGCTCCACTCGATTGCGAGGTCTGGTGCGTGATGTCCCTGAATGGTCTTCTCAGTGTATGCCCAATCCATCTTCTGTGTTATCAATACTTTTCTTATGATTCTTAAGGAACTTATCAATTAATTTGGGAGGGTAATTGTTGGTGAGTAAGGCGTCTTAAATGTATCTGGTTTCTTGTTTTAGATCTTCTGTCTTACTTGTAAGATTTTTGCCTCTGTTACCTAGACACTATACTAAGCCAACTTTAACTGAAATATGGAGTGACAATTTGAAGTCTAAGTAAAGATTTGAATGTGGAGGTTTTCTGTAAACATCAGTGTCTAAACTCTCGTCTTATTTCCATTCTTATTCTGCAATCTAAAATCGATGATTTCCCATCACTATTTTCTAATTCAAAGGTGAATTAGATTGCATTGATTATATGTGTGAAGAAATTGTGTATGTGCTCCGATTTCAACACTGTAAACGTGTCGTCTACATAGCGAAACCATATTCTTGTAGCCGGTGTAAATTTTTCTACGGCCATCTATTCCCAACTATCCATAAACATGTCAACCACAATTGGGGATATTAGTGATTCCATGGTAGTGTTTTCTGTGTGTTTGTGTATTTTATTCTGTAACATAAAGATTGTGGTGTTTAGGCATAACTCTACTCCTAGCATGATGCCACTTACTGGTACCTCAGTTTGTAGTATAAGCTCATGGTAATTACTGATCTCATTTGTAACTGCTTCCAAAACCATGTCAATCGGTATATTAGTATACGAACTAACTACATGAAAATTAACCATCTTTTCATCGTCATCTGGACCGCGGCCGGATTTCCATCTCACCTTCGATCATCACCCAATATAAATACTAGTCTACGGAACTACGGCTATCTCAGATACTCAAATGACAACTTAAATGTAAGTCATTTAATCTGTGCTTCAAGTCATAAGAGTTAGTAAGTCTTTATTTAGAACAGTCTCTGACTGGACCTGGTACTATCGCTAAGAACTTAGATAAATCGTAAGTAGGAGTGTCTCTGAAGTCTACTACAGGTTATATGGGATAACCTGGTTTATGAATCTTAACAGTACCATAAATTCCACTGAGATTATCAGTTTTCGGCATTAAATAAAACAATTCCTACTCACCTAGAAACGGCTTCATTCGGCATATTAGACCCACTGTATGTAATTCTTTTTTTAATGTGTTTTATGTGTTCTGTAACATATATTCTAAATTGAAAACTGTAATCATAAATCTCTTTGAATGTATTCTGAAGCTTCAACTAACTTATGATAATCTGTGGTCATCATTCATGCTGAATAACTGTACTTACTTTCCGTCTAAGAATTGAAAGTGTAGCCAACACTGTACATGAATAAACGGTTTGAAACACGATTCACTGAAAGACGGACTTTTAAAAACTGTACAAATAGGTTAAATATTCATACAGAACAAAGGAAATTCGCGTGTTTTCACAAACAACCCTACCACCTACAATGGAGGATGATTTCAAGTTAATGGAAGATGAAGCTCAGGGTAAATAATTAGTACTCAATGTAGAGAAATGTTCAACAATTTTTTTCTTTACTTCGGTATTATGAAGAGTTCACTGCTTTCTCTGCAACACTCTCCTAGTACAAACATTAATTCATCATGACGTGTACCTTCTGGTGACAGGAAGGACAGATGTCAACTGGAATAACCCAGAAATCTCAGCAAACAATAATCCAGTACTACACCCTTTTTCATAAGTGGTTAAGGACATTGCCGCGAGCTCTGTAAGATATCTGGTGGACTTCATTTATAGATTCACAATGGTATGTCATGGTAATGCATAAAGAAGGATGCCAATTTGTTTTTTTGTGGAGTCGGGATAGAGGCGACAAAGAGAACTGTGGAGTTTGAAGACAATTCAGGCAGTAAGTAGCCACAATGACTATGCCTGATTACAGATTGAAATGATTTTACCTTGAACTGCTATATTCTAAGCAGACACTCGAACAGGAGACTCCTACCTGAGATTCAAAGAAAATTAATGGATTACTCGGTCATCGAAGAAACCATTTTGGCAAGAAACTGATTATAATCGAAAATATTCTCAGACTGACAGATAATTTCATCTGATAACGTTTCCATAATATTCATTTGCTGTAGCTTACAGAATACAACAGAGCATTTGGAAAGGTTTATCTTGTATTACTTAAACTCTGGTAATGCAGAAATAGGAAGGAGAATTGGCTTTCAAGAAGTAAACTCCCATTTAGTATGTCTATCTACTTTTTAATCTGTAGCCTTTCCCCTCTCTTGCTTTTAACTAAACCTTAACTGATTATAAATTTTTTATCAAATAAACTTTTCTGACGTACTAATTTCTCTTCACCTTCGTCACTGGTAACTGACTGATCACTTTGTTATGTGTAATCAATCGTGTGATTTCCTTTCTTTAAGTCATGCTTAATTTATCACGCCTAGTTATTTACACTGTCAGGCGTTTTCATACTTCTTACGTAACTTTCCTTTTTTTTATTACCTTTATGACCATCAGATGTAAAACGATCAGTTTTCAATTTTGATAGTATTTCTAGCAAAACTGTAGCCCATGATTTCATCGATAGTCAGAATTTTAATTACATGGTTAATAATATTTGTTTGTTACTATATGTATAAAGTTTTTGTGTTGACAGTCAGTTTCTTTTCGTCAACACAATGTTCTCTACGGTGGACAACTACATTGAGTCGTCATTGTTATATGTGACTTGCGTTACGTGTAAACTCATATTGATTCAGTGAATAATCATTCAGAGTTAGAAGGCTGTGAACATGTTCATTGCCAGTCTGAAAGGGCCTACACCTGGAGCTTAGAACACTGCCTAGATGCCCATGTAGTGAGACCTGAACTGCGAACCCATTGCTTAAAAGTCAAATACTTAAGCCAGTGATCTACATGGATGCGGTTTGATTTAATAATTGAAAAATCTCATATTCAATCAGTAGGCGTTGGAGATCATTGAAGGATTGAACCCGTCTCATTCTACGGTACATTTTCCTGAAGGTTTGATATCACGATATTTTTTTATCTTGAGTATTTAATAAATTGATGAAAGAGTGTGGATTCATTTCATTCCACTTAAACTGTTACACTTACTCTTCTCTACCTAATCACATATGGATTATTAGATCGATTCCGAGTGAGACAGGATCAAACGAAAAAATACGACTCATTCAAGAGTAATTATTACTGATCTACCTTTCATGATAATTTGATCACATACATTTAGATCTTACCCTTTTATGAGCAGAATTATACTGTCGCAATGCATACCCCTGGTGTCACCCACTTAATCTTTATACAGATTACTTACGAGGAGATCAGTGGGATAGATCAAATGAAGGTTGCCATAAGATTGTATTCAGGTGAATCCAACCTGATTTGCCAACATGTAGCTATGTGGCTATGCGTTAAATGTGATTGGCTGATATATGTTCTTCGCAAATGAGTGAAGTCGACCTTGAAAATAATACTTCATAATGAGTGACTCTAAAGGTCACCCCAACAACTACTAAGGTAACCAATTAGAATTCTGCTTTTTCTGACAGAAACTACCTCACTAGTCAAAACAGTGAAACTAGATTGATTATTTCAGTTGTTTCTAGAGTGATCTTGAGAATCACACCTCCTTTCACACCTGACTTATAGCAGAACAGTGCCACCCGTTATTGGTTAGCTTTTTCACCAAGGTGTGAGATTCTTCAACACTAAGTACCTATGATCTTGACAAGGTTCGAACTCACGACCTTAACATCCCTGCGAATATGTTGACCATAAAACCATTGGGTTGGAGTTCAATGATTTTAAAATGACTCTCCAGTTGATATCACTTTGTGATGAATACTGCCATAAAAATAAAATCCCCATCAGCCTAAAGTAGTTACAGTTCAGATAACTGTCAAAAATTCATATAACGACTTAATGTCTGTTTGTTTCTAAGTGTGAACTATTGTATTTAGGTGTAGAGTTTGACAAGACTGAAACCAGAACATACATTCACTCAAATTCTTATGTTTTCACATACTATTTCGTTCACTAAATGATAAGACAAATTTAATATGCTTAGGTAGTGAAAATATCTGGCTATCATAACCTTGACACTTAAAGTAGGGTTTGTAGCTTTAGTGCACTGATTTCAAGTTGACCACCTATACCAATATGTCACAGATCCATGTTAAGCAAATTATTATACTGAACCCTTTAAATGGCAAATGCCTATTGAAGTTGACGAATCGGTGACAAGTTGCCTTTTTAAATCACAAATAAACTAGTGACATAGACAAACTGTTACTCACTTGAAACATGAATAAGATAAAAACATTCAGTGTTGTACCAACATGACACATAACTAGTAGTAAATTGAAATCTCGTGTCCATATTGTAGAGCGTAAAGTGACTGCTATCCATAAATAGACAAATGAAGCATTACCCAACATTGTAAAATCATAAATTCCACCTGAGATTTTATTTGATTCATAGAAAACAGCCTCAGCATAATACTGACCACCAGCTAAACAGAAATATGCTGTAAAAAAGGTGACAACACCATGCCATACACCATCTATAATCCATAAGAAAATGTACCAAGATTTCAAATTTCCTTGATGTGATATCTAAAATAAAGCAAGATTGTTGAAAATCTAAAAGCTGAACACTGAAAATCGTTTAATTGGAAGTAATATCAAAGTTGATTTGTTACTGTGAAACTTCACCAAGACAGTAGAAAGTTATTGGACATCGAGATAATTAACTTTAAATTGAGAAGGATCAAATTATATAATTCTATCGAAACTTTTCTTAACATGACGGCTTCAACTGGAAAGACATGATTAACTGATAGCAGACGATTTGCTTTCTGAAATTTGGAGCATGTGATCAACTTTATCGACCTTGAAAAGGCCTTCGAAAGCGTCAACCGACAAGTAATTTGGCAGTGGCTTCAATAATACGGAGTCCAACTAGTCTTTATCAAACCCATTCAACAACTACATGACAACGCCACATGCCAAGTAATTCACAGTGGGAAGCTCACTGACACCTTCGAAGTGAAGACAGGAGTAAGATAAGGCTGAACACTATCATCCACGATATTCATGATGGTGGTCGGCTGCATCATACAACAAACCGTGAGGAGTGAGAAGATGTGCATATGCTGGACCGATGAAAAGAGCCTAGAAGATTTGGATTTCGTCGATGATTTATGTTCAATGTGTTGTTGCACAAACTCGAAGATCTACAGACGGAAACTAACAAGTTGACAGAAGAGATAGAGCACCGAACATGGGATTTCAAGTGAATGTAGAGAAGACGGAGGTGATGAAGATATTCAAGCAACAATAACAGCAGCATCAACAAAAGGCATCAATCTCCATAAATGGGAGAAATCTACAGGAAGTAGTCTCTTTCACCTAGCCATCTACCTAGACAGCATCGTTCCAAATACAGGCGGTGGCACAGACGAGGATATCAAAGTCAGTCAGGATCGGAACTGCAAGACAGGCTTTCACTGATCTGAAATCAGTGTGGAGATCTAGTGCACTGCACTACACTCAGCACAAAGAACAACATCCGGATTTTCAACACTAATTCAGTCAAGTAAGTCAGTGCTTGTGTGTGATGGTTCGGAAACTGGGTGCGTCACGAAAAGCATTTCCAATAGACTGCAGGCACTCATCAACAGCTGCCGCCTATGCCGGCTCAATACTGAAGATCAGATGAGATGAGAATGGGAGAAAGAATGAGCAAGGAGGAATTCTGAGAACGAACCAACGAAGCAAGAACCCATCACCCAATAAATGTGCAGGTGATGAAATTGGAGATGGATTGGATTGAGCATACACTGAGAAGGCTGATTGGGGATATCACGCGTGAGGTCAGGTCGTCGAATGGAATGTGAAGGGGAATGGATGAGATGGGTGTCGGAGGCGAGGTTGACATTGAGGAGATGGTGTGAGTAGGAAATGAGAGGTTGTTTGTAGTTGTGGAGTGAGGTTGAAAAGACTGTATACATCTCAAATAAACAGTGAATATCATAACTCATTAGTCAGGTTGACAATGGGAACAATATAAGTCACTGGAGTGCAGGAACATCCAACTGACGAGTCCCAATCAGGACGAAACTTGCGTTTTGGGTTCCACTGCTAACCACCACCATCAAACATTTTCTAGTCCTAATGACTCTTCTGTTTATTTCTAATTTGTCTTAAGTTTGCGCAATTATATGTTCTATCAATCAAAGATGCTACTTATTCGAGGACTGTCAAGAGATCACCATCTGATGAACCATAAATGCCTGAATCATATTCCTCTTTTAAGATGATGTGGTCAATTTGAGGTCATAGCCATTTTTAAGCATAAAAATTGTTCATACTAGATGAGCAAAGTTAACCAAATCAACTTGAAATTTTAGCAGTCATTACTTAGAAGACTAATCTTCTCTTCTCCAATATTTTCTAGATGAAATATGCACAATTCATTCATGAGGTCAGCCCACATGCTCACACCACTATTGCAGAAGGTGTAGAAGGAAGGAAAGGTACCTACAGATTAGAAGAAGGATTACCTTGTCAAACTCCCAAAGAAGGGCGACCTAAGCCTTTGCAAGAACTGGCGAGGAATCATGCTTCTGTCCACCCAATGCAAGCAAATTAACAAGTCGCATCATCCTGGAGAGACTAAAGGATACGCTGCATTCAAAACCACGACCCTAACAGGCTGATTGCCTTGAAGAAGTACAAATCATGTGTGGACAAAATTCCAATGATACGCTACGCATCATCGTAGAACACAACATAGAATGGCTGTCAACCATCCACCTCAACTTTATCGACTTTGAAAAGGCCTTCGACAGCGTCGACCAAGAAGAAATTTCGCAACTGCTTCAACATTATGGAATACCACAAACCTTCATCAATCTCATTCAACAACTATATGACAACGCCACATGCCAAGTAACTCACAATGGGAAGCTCAGTCATGCCATTGAAGTGAAGTGAAGTGAAGAAAGGAGTGAAACAAGTCTGTCTACTATGACCCACGATATTCCTGATTGTGGTCGACTCGACTGGATCATGCAACAAACAGTGAGGAGCGAGAAGAGAGGGATAAGCTGACTGGACCGGGGTAAAGATCCCAGAAGATTTGGATTTCGCCAGTGATGAATTGTGTCCAGTGTTTCGTCGCACAAACTGGAAGATCTACTGACAAAAACTAACAAGTTGACAAAAGAGGCATGTCAGGGCAACGAAGACGGGACTTCAAGTGAATGTAGGGAGAACAGAGGTGATGAAGATACCCAATCTACACCACCAACACCACCAGCACCACCACCACCATAAACAACAACAAACACCAATCATGATGAACCGCAGAAATTTAAAGGAGGTAGCCTCTTTCACCTACACCTATCTAGGCAGCATTGTTTCAACTACAGGAGGCACAGCCACAGACGAGGATGTCAAAGTCAGTCAGGATCGGTAAAGCAAGACAGGCTTTCATCAACCTGAAACCAGTGTGGAGATCTACTGCACTGCACTGCACTCCACTGCACTGCACTCAGCATAAAGTGTGAACGACATACCGATTTTCAACACCAATTCAGTCAAGTCAGTGCTTCTATGTGATGGTTGAGAGACTTGGCGCGTTACGAAAACCACTTCCAACAAACTACACACATTCATCAACAACTGCCTATGCTGGCTAGTTACTGAAGATCAGATGGCCAGAATAATAAGAATAAGGAACAAGAAACTTTGGTCTGGCAACGAACCAACGAAGCAAGAACCTATTGCCCAACAAATGTGTACTGGAAGGAGATGGAGATGGATTGGATTGGGTATACAGTGAGAAGGCTGACTGGGGACATCAGGCACCAGGCCTCACACTCGAGTGGAACCCGCATGGGAAACGACGAGTTGGGCATTCGATGTTAGGGTGACATGGATGAGATTGTGTGAGGAAGAAATGAGAGGTTGTGGGCATTGGTGTCTCTAGGTTGAAAAGATTGTGGAGAAGAGAGTGTACTGGATATGTGTTACTGAATCCGTATGTTCCATTCGGAACCCAAGGGACAAATAAGTAATAATAATAATAATAATATTCAGGAGGTATTGATCAACATTTATTCATGATATGAAAAATTTTATTTCTGTAATCTTCAATATGAAATAATTAACAATGAAATCTATTGGAAATGTATCACTTACAGCTCTGTACAAATGTGGTTTACTCAATAGAATTTTTTCCTTTATATGACGTTCAAACATCCCATAACCCATACTGATTAAAAATGTCATTGTTAGATTATAACAAACAAATATTATAGTTCCAAATGATGGAATTTCTGAGAATCCAGTGAAATATGTTAAACATATTTGATTAGTTACAAAAGCTACACATTTGTGATAGAAGAATAACATTGTTATTGTGATCCGATAATATGCCCAATGACCATGTAGCAAAAATAATCGTTGTAAGTGTCTGTTTATCAAAAATCAAAGAGAAATGTACATAGAGAATGGAAATAATCATAGTGATAAGATATCAAGTTATATTATCAACTAATTCCATACCCTGTTACTTAAATCTTACTTATACTTCTACAGGATTTATATAACACGTCATCTGTTGATCAAAGTAAAATCAGGAAACAAACTTTAAAAGGCGTCTAGATTAAGAATAAAGTCATATTGTCGATAAAACTCTCTTAAATGGCTATAAGTTGACAAGCTGATACTTATGTAAAGGTCTGGAGACTGGAGGTGAAATAAAAGGTTTACTTACGATAGAATTCAGGCAGGCCATCTTCTTCTTACCAAGCTTAGGACTCCGCTAACTAAGCAACGAAACATAACTATGCACAGACTGTCTGTTGGAATCATACAGCAAACTAAGTTTCTAGATCACCTTCATCTATTAGCCTGTTAAATATATTCAAAATGTTTATCTTGGAATATACGTAAATCTTTCTTCTAAACAATATTCAAGCACATTGCTCAGTGTTTGAAGCAGTCTCAAAGTCAAATAAATGGTTCAGTGTTACGGATTAGTAAGTGGGCCAGATAAGAGATAATTTGACAGATTCCCAATTGAATCCAATGGTAAATGGAAACAATGAGCAACAAGAAACTCAAGCTAGCAGAGAACCAACGAAGCAAGAACCTATTGCCCAACAAATATGCACTGGAAGGAGATGGAGATGGATTGGATTGGGCATACAGTGAGAAGGCTGACTGGGGACATCACGCACCAGGTCTCGCACTCGAGTTGAACCCGCATGGGAAATGACGAGTTGGGCATTCGATGTTAGGGTGACATGGATGAGATTGTGTGAGGAAGAAATGAGAGGTTGTGGGCTATCGTGTAGCCATGCTGAAAAGATTGTGGAGAAGAGATTGCACTGGATATGTGTTACTGAATCCCTATATTCCACTTGGAACCCAAAGGACAAATAAAAATATAATATCATGAAGATGAATATGAGAAGTCATGCAGAATGTTCGGTGAAAATGAAAAGAGATCGAATAAAGGTTTTTGAAAGCACTTATAAGAGGAATGATCGGATTACCTGTAAGTTGTTATAGGAATTGAATTAACCTTGGAGAGACCTGATGTTATACTGGGACACAATATCATTAGATATTAGGCTCTTCTTTATCTTCGTATGATAATAGATTGAAAAAGAAGGTTGAGAATCACTGAAAACTAAACAGCACTAAACTGCTATTTCGTATCAATTTGAAAAGACTGTCAGTATTTCAGATTCACGGAACCAAATACAAAGCCCCTTGGTTTCATGATAAGTGGACTATTATTCATCTACTATGATAAAAGTGAGTGATTCATGAATTTCTAAACCTTTAATAGGTTTCTGTAAACTTTTAGAGGTAACTAAGTGAATATTGAGGACAGATTAGGGTCGACGACATTTGACGATGTTCACTTTCCATAAAGACTTGTCACACACTTGAAAATGTATAAAAATGGAACTAGATTCCTTATCATTAACTGAATGATAAAATACTCGTCTTGATACGTTAAAGTTCTGAACTCGTTGCGCAGGGTGAACACTACAGAAGATTATGGAGGTAAGATGGAATGTAAACTAAAGGATCAATGGTTTTCAGGGTTTCTTTGGTGAGTATCATAGTTTACTTCGTTTACTTCTCATTTTATCATTAATAAGCCGCGTCACATCGATAAAGTACGGAATGTTGAATAAAGCTATGAAGATCACTTACCTGAATTGTGTAACTGAATAGTCAGATGCTCTTGCTGCATCATTACCTTCTTTTCCATAGACACCAACACCAATATTAGCTTGTAAAATCATAGCCACATCATTTCCTCCATCACCAATAGCTGCTGTTACTGGTTTAACACCCTGACGTGTATATTTGGCTAGACCAACCTGAACCAGTTTTACAACTGACGCCTTTTGCAAAGGTGTCATCCGACAGCATAGGACAGTTGTTACACTCATGCATAATTCAAGAAATGCATTACGTACTGATGGCTTTAGAAATATAAACAAAATAACCGAAAATATATTAAATAATACTTTAACAAAACAGATAACACGAGGTTAAATTGATCAAGCATTACATGTAATCGACAAATAGTAATAGTTATTGTTCCAATCGTAACTTTACCGGATATTATAGTTTATAGAGCATTCTGTCAAGTGTTGACTATAAATTAGTATACATCATGCCGTAAAAATCAACGATGATATTGGCAGTATTGTAGTATTATTATTTATCCTTTGAGTTCCTGGTGGAATATAGGGATTCAGTAACACATATCCAGTACACTCTCTTCTCCACAATCTTTTCAACCTAGAGCCACCAATGCCCACAACCTCTCATTTCTTCCTCACACAATCTCATCCATGTCACTCTAACCTCGAATGCCCAACTCATCATTTCCCATGCGGGTTCCACTCGAGTGTGAGGCCTGGTGCGTGATGTCCCCAGTCAGCCTTCTCACTGTATGCCCAATCCAATCCATCTCCACTTCCTTCCAGTACACATTTGTTGGGCAATAGGTTCTTGCTTCGTTGGTTCGTTGCCAGACCAAAGTTTCTTGTTCCTTATTCTTATTATTCTGGCCATCTTAGCTTCAGTAATGAGCCAGTGTAGGGGGTAGTTGTTGATGAATGTGTGTAGTTTGTTGGAAGTGGTTTTCGTAACGCGCCAAGTCTCTCAACCATCACATAGAAGCACTGACTTGACTGAATTGGTGTTGAAAATCGGTATGTCGTTCACACTTTATGCTGAGTGCAGTGCAGTGGAGTGCAGTGCAGTGCAGTGCAGTAGATCTCCACACTGGTTTCAGGTTGATGAAAGCCTGTCTTGCTTTACCGATCCTGACTGACTTTGACATCCTCGTCTGTGCCTCCTGTGGTTGAAACTATGGGGTGGAAGAGGCTACTTCCATCAAGTTTCTCCCGCTCATCATGATTGGTGTTTGTTGTTGTTTATGGTGGTGGTGGTGGTGGTGTAGTTTGGGTATCTTCATCACCTCTGTTCTCCCTATATTGATCATAACGCCCTATCCATTCCAGAGACTCATGTTAGGTACCTACACTTCTAACTGTATATGATCAAAGCTGAAAGTATCAACAGAGAAAATCATCTGAATTAGGTTCATTTTCATGGGAGAGATAGAAGAAATACTAGGCGAAAACTTCACAGAAACGTACACTCAAAAAAATTGAATCACTCTGCTAAACAAGAGAGTTGACCGCTGGAGTGAAGTTTATCAGTTAGCACAGAGGTGAAAGTAGGACTGAGGTACTTATGACTTATAAGAAAAGTACTAGAAAAATATTATAATTTAATAATGTGAGCAAATTGATAACACAGTTTGGCTATACTGAAAGACTGAGAAGGTAGTTAAGATTTCCCCCCGGTAGACCTATGATTCGAATCCCACCAATATTTTCAGTACAATTTATATCATTGCTCTATTATCAAACCGTGACTTTCATTTGCAAATAAAACAAATAATCATCGCATAGTAAATGTTAAGAATCACAAAGGTGAAAGCAAGTCTGTTCGAAGTTCGATTCTAGAATATTCGATTGATTTCTATTACCCAACAAACCCAGACATCATCAAATTCGCCTAAACCTCCTACGTTTTCTTTGTTTTCAACTGCTTGAAACAGCAAAGGCTTTAGCTACTCATGAACTAAAGCCTAATTTGTGTATACAAAAGAAGTATGTACAGTCACTGTTTTTATCATGGTCATAACATTTTCCAACCCTGATTAGTTTCCCCTCTTCCTTTGTTAATTTAACCGTTGTATCCTTCCTTTATCACAATTACTATTATTATAATTACATTCACTTTGATTAATTTTCAGTGTTATTTCACTTAATCGTCATAATATTTTTATAAAACATTGATTTCATCTTGACCAACTTGTCTAATCGTATTACGTAATACTTAATTGGTTTACCTCGCCTGGTTAACTAGTTTACTAGTTACTAGCCGGTCCTAAGCCCGGGTAAAGAGGGAAGGTTGGGCATAGGGCTAGCAACCCTACCCCGTAAAACAAATCTAACCGCTAAAGAAACTTCAAAGCACAAACAAAATATAAAAAATGAAAACAAACTTATTCCCCGCTGGAATCGGAGAGGCGAAATGACGCCAGTTGGTGAAAGCCTTCGGGAAGCCAATTGGCCGATGTGTCTTCTCTCGATGAAAGCGAAAGTAAACGTGGGGACATGGAATGTCCGCACGATGTTTGAACCCAGTAAGGCAGCCCAGATTGCAAAGGAGATGAGAAGGTATAACATCGAAGTGCTTGGGATTTGCGAAAGCAGATGGAATGGGAGTGGACTCTCCAAACTGTCAACTGGAGAATCAATAATCTACTCCGGTCACCCAGACGCCAACCACGAGCACACTGAGGGAGTGGCTATCATGATGTCCTCAAGAGCATCGAAGGCTCTCATGCAGTGGGAACCAATCTCCTCCAGGATCATGACAGCAAGATTCAACTCAAAAGGAAGAAAGGTCACAATCATACAATGTTATGCACCTACAAATAATGCAGAGCAAGAGAAAAAGGAGGAATTCTACAGACAACTTCAATCAACACTGGACAAGACGTCAGTTGGCGATATCAAAATTCTAATGGGCGACATGAATGCCAAACTGGGAGGGGACAACACGGGAAGAGAACTAACCATGGGTCGAGAGGCGCTAGGTGAAATGAATGAGAATGGAGAATTGTTTGCAGAATTCTGTGCATTCAACGATTTGGTGATTGGAGGCAGTGTGTTCAGGCACAAGGATATCCACAAAGCGACATGGACTTCACCAGATGGACACACTAAAAATCAAATCGACTTTATCTCAATCTCAAGAAAATGGAGACGCAGTCTACTTAACACAAGGTCAAGAAGAGGAGCAGATGTAGGTTCAGACCACTATCTAGTGCAAGGAACCTTCCAAATCAAGTTAAAAGCCTTCAAGGAAGCTGGTGATAGACCTCAATTCAAGTACAACACTCGGAAACTGAAGGATGAAACTACAAAGGAGATCTTCAAAGCAGCCATCAAGACAAAATGGGAGACGTCGAGGGACATCCCTGAAGAAACCTGTGTGGAAGAACACTGGAAGTCTTTGAAAGCTATGTGGAAAGAAACCTGCACAACAGTATTAGGAAGGAAGAAGAAAGAAGACAAGGAATGGATCTCGACGGATACCTGGAAGCTGATAGAGGAGAGGAGGATGGTGAAGCAGAAGATAAACCAGTGCAAGGATGCTCAACGACAAGAGGAACTGAGCACAATGTATAAAACACTGGACAAAGAAGTGAAGAAGAGTGCACGCAAAGACAAAAGACACTTCTACGACACACTGGCAAGTGAAGCAGAACAGGCTGCAGGTAAGAGAGACCTGACGACATTGTATCAAATAACCAGGTTGCTATCAGGGAAGAGACCAACACAGATGAAACCAATAAAAGATGAAGAAGGAAATTTAATTACAAAAGAAGAGAAACAGAGGAAACGATGGGCCGACCACTTCAAGAAGCTCTTGAATCGACCACCACCTGCACTTCGTCCAGAAATACCACCTGCAGCCGCTGAATTACAAGTGAACATAAATCCCCCAACGAAAATGGAAGTCCTGAACGCCATAAAGCTACTGAAATGCGGGAAAGCAGCAGGACCAGATGGAATACCGCCAGAAGCACTGAGAACAGATGCAGAGACAACAGCGGACATGCTCACACCACTATTGCAGAAGGTGTGGAGGAAGAGAAGGTACCTGACGATTGGAAGAAGGGTTACCTTGTCAAACTGCCGAAGAAGGGAGACCTCAGTGCTTGCAAGAACTGGCGCGGAATCACTCTCCTATCCACCCCAAGTAAAATATTAAGCCGCATCATCCTGGAGAGGCTTAAAGACGCACTGGATTCAAAACTGCGACCGGAACAGGCAGGCTTCAGGAAGTACAAATCATGTGCTGACCAAATTGCAACGCTTCGTATCATCATAGAACAGAGCGTAGAATGGCAATCAGCTCTATACCTCAACTTCATCGACTTTGAGAAGGCCTTTGACAGCGTCGACCGAGAAGTAATTTGGAAACTGCTTCAATACTACGGAGTACCGCAAACCTTTATCCGCCTCATTCAACAACTATATGAAGATGCCACATGCCAAGTAATCCACAATGGGAAGCTCAGTGATGCCTTTGAAGTGAAGACAGGAGTGAAACAAGGTTGCCTACTATCCCCCATGATATTCCTTATTGTGGTGGACTGGATCATGCAGCAAACAGTAGGCAGCGAGAAGAGGGGGATACACTGGACGACGGAAAAGAACCTAGAAGACTTGGATTTCGCCGATGACTTATGCCTAATGTCACATAAACTTGAAGATCTGCAGGCAAAAACTAACAAGTTGACAGAAGAGGCAGCTAAGACGGGACTTCAGGTGAATATAGAGAAGACAGAAGTGATGAAGATACCGCACCACCACCATCAACAACAACAACAAACTCCAATCACCGTCAACGGGAGAAACTTGAAGGAAGTAACCTCCTTCACTTATCTAGGAAGCACTGTTTCAACTACAGGCGGGACGGACGAGGACGTCAAAGTCAGAATCGGAAAAGCAAGACAGGCGTTCATTAGCCTGAAACCAGTGTGGAGATCTTCTGCACTCAGCATGCGGAACAAGATACGGATTTTCAACACCAACGTCAAGTCAGTGCTCTTGTATGGCTCAGAGACTTGGCGCGTCACGAAAGGCATTTCCAATAAACTACAGACATTCATCAACAACTGCTTACGCTCGCTGCTGAAGATCAGATGGCCAGAAAAAATAAGCAACAAGGAACTCTGGGAACGAACCAACCAAGAACCTATCACGCAACAAATATGCAGGAAGAAGTGGAGATGGATTGGCCATGCACTGAGAAGGCCGACTGAGGACATCACGCGTCAGGCCCTCGAGTGGAATCCCCATGGGAAGCGACGAGTTGGACGTCC